TAGAATCATAGAGTTGGAAGAGACCACAAGGGCCTTCGAGTCCAACCCCCTGCCAAGCAGGAAACACCATCAGAGCACTCCTGACATATGGTTGTCAAGCCTCTGCTTAAAGACCTCCAAAGAAGGAGACTCCACCACACTCCTTGGCAGCAAATTCCACTGTCGAACAGCTCTTACTGTCAGGAAGTTCTTCCTAATGTTTAGGTGGAATCTTCTTTCTTGTAGTTTGGATCCATTGCTCCGTGTCCGCTTCTCTGGAGCAGCAGAAAACAACCTTTCTCCCTCCTCTATGTGACATCCTTTTATATATTTGAACATGGCTATCATATCACCCCTTAACCTCCTCTTCTCCAGGCTAAACATGCCCAGCTCCCTTAGCCGTTCCTCATAAGGCATCGTTTCCAGGCCTTTGACCATTTTGGCTGCCCTCCTCTGGACACGTTCCAGTTTGTCAGTGTCCTTCTTGAACTGTGGTGCCCAGAACTGGACACAGTACTCCAGGTGAGGTCTGACCAGAGCAGAATACAGTGGCACTATTACTTCCCGAGATGGTGCTCGCAGAGTTGGGCCGTATATTTACACTCCACCTCCTCATAAAATGTTCAAGGCAACATAGAAGTAATTAAAAGCCCGCAATCGATACTGAAATGCCTGAATAAAAATCCCACAAGGCTGCAGCGCTTAAATCTCATTTAAAATTAACGGGACATAAGCTAGTTCTGACTGGAGGCCATACTTAAGTGTGAGCAGCATGGCATGGGAGTTGCTTGCCTAGCTTTCTAAAGCAAATGGCAGATACAAGGGCCTGACTTTGATCAAGACACTGGTGTGAAGGGGGGGGGTTAAACACACACACACACACACACACACACACACACACACACTTCTAATGAGGATATATAAAATGGCCTTGTGGGGAAATGGGGAGGACTAATTATGCCTGCAGGTTGTAGGTTCTCACCTCTCCTCCAACCCACTGAATTCCATGGAGCTTACCTGTCAAGTTAAACATTAGATAATCCCATTTAAGTCTATGGGAGTTACAAAGCATTATTATTATTATTATTATTATTATTATTATTAAACCAAATTATTTAATTCACCAAGAGGCTCTTAATCTCACGAGGCATTTAAATGTCAAAGCAAGCCGGTCAGTAAATCACACAGTTCAAAGCTTGAGTTAACTCAATTAGAGAAGCATGAACTTCAGACTTAGCTGAGTTTCAGGCCTAATGTGCACAGCAGCTCATACCCTGTAGGTCCTACTCCATAAGGGTTGCCATATCTTGAAGAGCAAAAGAAGAGGACAGCCTGAGCTGCTGCCAGTCTGAGCCAGGGAAAGAGGTGTGTGGGGCTGCTGTCATGCCTGGGCACCTCTTTCCTCAGCTCAGGCTGGCAACGGCCACAATGTGCAGAGCAGCCTGAACCACCCAAACCCGAGCCGCCTGAGCCAAAAAAAACCTGGACATTTCCTTTAAAACCCAAAAATCTGCCTGGATGGGCATTTTAGCCCCCCCAAAAGAGGACATGTCTGGGTTTCCTCAGATGTATGGCAACCCTATAACTCCATGAAATCAGTTGCCAAGACTAAAAGACCCTGCCTCCCCACAGCCGTCTAAGTCGTCTCCTCTACAGGGCTTCTTGCCAGCAATTGGAGACTGCGCCTGCATCCAGCTTGTCTTTGCTCCTCCCATTTCATCTCTCTCCTGGATCTGGGAGTCAGGGGTGAGGGAAGCTTGTCGCAGCAGGATGGGGAGACACCAATGGGAGATGAGTCACTAGCTGGACTCATCTCTGCCTCTTGATCTCCCTTCTTCCCACTCTCCTGCTTCAGTGTCTGCCTCCGATTCTTGACTTTCCTTTGCCACAGACTCTGCCAATTCTCTAAGCCCTGTTCAGCTTCTGACACCACATCTTCCCAGTCTTCTCCCTCTGACCACACATCATTGTCCCACCACCCCAGGCTCTGAGCCATTTCCCCTTGGTGGTTCCCCAGCGGGTATCTTCCACCATTCCTCTGTGACCAACTAGTCCATGACATCAAACTTCTCTGTTCTTAACATCTGGTTTCCAAACAAACTTTAGTTTGGATGTGAAATATGGTATTTGGATATATATGCAACATTAATATTAAAGAAACATTGGGATGCTTCTCCACAATGATAATTTTTGACAAACACATTGCAGGTTTCAAAATACACAATGTAAAATTCCAGCATTGACTCTTCTCTTCAGAAATTCCAAACAGCATCTATTCAGTACCTCACGTAAACTTGCATTGTATTTTGTTCTTAAATTACATTGAAATTTGTGGCAATCTGCAGTTTTGAGCATTAACATTTAAATGCCACTTCCAAAATCTTAATAAATCAAAATTACACCCAATGAAAGCTTTACTAAAACTTGGCACCATTCTGTCTTGTTCTATCATAAAAACATTAAATATATTTTAAGGTAATCATCTGAACAAGAATAGATGGAAAGCTTTTTCTTTCCTCCTTTTATTGAATGCAGCTTTCATTATACAGTCATGGTTTTAGAGAGGTATTTTGAATATATATATATATATATATATATATATATATATTCATGCCCTGTGCCGGAAGAAATTAACATGGTTTTCTATTTGAAGCTGGGAAAACTATCTTACAAAAAGAGAACAATCAAAGTTATTCTTTTTGCTTGCCCTTATTTAATCACAAAAGCATCTTCCCCAAACATTTTACTACTGAAACCTGCCTTTCAAAATTACAAGAGTGTCAAATAAATTTGTGCTTTACAGCATCGAATGTTGTTTACTTCAGAAGCCTACCCATATATTATCATTATAATTTTGCTTTGAATCTGTATCTTGGGGGGGGGGGGCGTTGTTGTTGTTGCTGCTTCTGCAGAAGAAGAAGAATTCCCCCTCCCCCGCTTGATGTTTTGCTGTCTAACTTGTTCTATACAAAGTATGAAAGCAAGAAATCAGATCAAAAAGTGTTATGCTAACCTTCAGCGTTGTTGTTCTGCGCATTTACTGGTGGCATCTTGTCAAAAAGTGGTTTGCCACCTTTTGCTTCTGGATCTTTCCCTGGAATGACAGAATGGCTCCCAGGCTGGATTTTAAATGCTGGTGATCGCAAACTTCTCTCGGTTTCTACTTCCTGTTAGAAGACATTAAGGGAATGTGTATTAAAAGCTATCAGTAGGAAACAGATGTGGCTGTCTGAGGGAGGAGGATGTGAAAAGGTGAGGGAAAGAGCAGTGGGGTTCCATTACATGATTGATGTTTTCCAAAATGCTTCAGGGTAAATCTCTAACATTGCAGAGGGTTACAAATGTTCATTTGCTGTCAGTTTACATTTCAACACATCAAGAAGCTAGGCAACCACTGCAGCTCTTCACATTTGGCGATTCTTTGCACATTTTTCAACACCACCACATTTCCGGAAGGAAATTCTGTATGTAACAACAACAACAACAACGGATCTGAGTGCATTTATATTTTATTTTTACAAATCCAAAAGGGTGTTTCAATGCAGTCCCTGCTCATTTAAAGGGTATGTTGGAAGTTAGATGCATTTCTGCTGAGTTTTAATTGGCTGCTATCCCTGGGATCTTCCAAACAAATTTCACTCATCATCACAGCCATAGGGAGCCAAGTTCCCAGGGGCGGAGGAAGGGGGGGCGGTGGGGGCGGGTCACCCCGGGTGTCACCACTGAGGAGGGTGACAAAATGCCAGATGGCACTCACCGTGGGGCCTGCAGAACACCTGAGCCACGCGTCTCTCCTGGGAGTGACACGGGGGCTTGGGCACCCGCAGGCTCCATGCTGCCCCAGACGGTCCATCTGCCACCTCCCCCCCCTTGTAGGGCATCTGAGTGGGAGGAGGCGGGCAGACTCTTCAGAGGCCCTGCTGAGCATCCTGCCCCGGCTCGCCCCGCCCCACCCTGAGGGTGGCTGTCCCTGCCCCTGGGCACAGGACACATGCACCGCCCCAGGCACCCGATTGGCTTGCTCCACCACTGCATGTTCCTTCCACCCATCTCATTCAGTAATCATGATGACACACAGGATTGTAGCACCAAATGTCTGCAGTTAAGTAACCCTTAAAATAAATAAATTACAATTTCACTAGAGTGGGCAATCTGAAGCTCTGCTTGTTCTCTTGCCTGGCTTGCTGTTTAGGATGCGACAGGAAAGCATATTTGGCTCTTTGGACAAATCCTTGATTTTAATAAGAATACTAAGGTGATTACAGCTGCAAAATTGATGAGATGTTGCAAAGGACTAATTTGTAAAAGATTCCTGTGGACTGAAAATATTGTGGACGTCTCCAAAGCAACTACAAGCAAGTCGCTTTTGATACCTTTTGCTGTTTTACATGCCGAAATCAAAGCAGCATGAGAATGAAATGTAACAGAGCATAACTTTGAAAGCACATTTATTGGAGTGACTTTTCTATTAGTTACTTCATAAGGCAAAGTTGTTAATCAAAAGTGTATTTATTCTCTGTATGCTGGTAAAAACAAAAAACAAACAACAAATCCGCTGACTTTCTTTTTTCTAAATAATCTTATCTTGTACTGGTTACGAGTATCTAGTAAATACTGAATAATAATAATACTGATGTAATAAAGCGAGCATCTACCTGAAATTAAGATATCTTGGCTTGCCAGAGCTGCAATAAAGAAGAGAAAAATATGCAGGCATATATAGCCTCTAGAGAAACAAGGGAAGTTTAGGAAAAGGAATTATTTATCATGTATATGACAAATGGCATGTGATCATGGAACATACCCATGCACACACATATTCGTTCATTCATACACACACACACACACACACACACTCTCATTCATATTACATTTATATCCCACATTTTCCCCAAGGATTTCAATGTGACACACACACACACACACTTCTCCCCCCTCTCCTTTTTATCCTCACAAAAATCTCAAGAAGATAGATTAGGCTCAGAGATAATAACTGGCTCAAGGTCACCCAGTGAGTTTTATGGCTGCACAGGGATTTGAACCCTGGTCTCCCAGGTCCTAGACCAGCATTCTAACCACTGTACCACACTAGCTCTCATAAAAGCACAACTAAAAGAATTAGAGGAAATTGAGAAAAGAGTGGGGTTGGCCACAAGCAATAGGATTCCCTATTGTCATCTATCAAATACACACAGTCATGTTCCTGTGGTATTCTGAAGTCTTCGGTATTCTGCAAATGTCATGAATTTTACAAAGCCCTTCCGTACATGAACATCTATGCCTGCAATGAAAATAATTGTGTCCAAAGACTGGTATTCACCAAACCCCGGCAAAACTTGCCAAAATGTATAAAAACAGATCACCCATGTGTTGGAGATGTAAAAAAGAGAAAGGGTCCTATCTACACATATGGTGGAATTGCATAGAAATCCGTGAATTTTGGAATAATATATTCGAGGAAGTCAAAAAACTACTTAAACTTACTTTTTGAAAAAGACCGGAAATCATCCTCCTAAGCATGCTGCCAAAGGAACTTGGAAAATCAAAAAGACCATTGACCATATATGGGATAACAGCTGCCAGAATATTAGTGGCAAGAAACTGGAAGAGTCAATCAATACCCAGTATAGTGGAGTGGCAGAATCTAATGGTAGAATACCTGCAGCTAGCAAAGATGACAGGAAGAGTTAGAGGTCAGACAAAACAGAGTCTATAAGGAATGGAGAATATATAAAGAATACTTTAAAAAATTAAGTATAATTAAGTATAATTTAAAAAACTAAGTATAAAATTAAGTGTAAACAGAAATCTCCTGGCAGAATTAGACTGACCCTTGAAATTCATAAAAGGTAACTGAGGTATAATGAAAAATCACAAGAAACAGGTAACTGTGCGGTATAATGTACATAACAGATAAAGTACAGTGAGACTACTTGGAAGTCTTTTTAAATGTTTGCGGCACTTTTTATTTCTAATTGGGTGAATAATCATTGTATTAACAAAATAATGTTGAGGAATTTCATAATTATGTATGTATTTTCTCTTCTTTTTTCCTTGATTTTTATACACTTGTCCTTATCTTGCATTTTTCTTTTCTTTCTTTCTTATGTTGTAAGCTTGTAATGGCAAGTACTGTATGGATAGATTCATTATAACTCAATAACGATTGACGAAATGGGGGCGGGGGGACTGGTATTTAATCGTCCTACTCAGAGTATATTTGTTGTTTTATTTGGGGGTGGGGTTGTTTTAAAATGTTATATGTTAATTTGGATTTTTGTATTTGGATTTTTGGACTGGGGAATTGTTTAGGGGCTTTTGTTGGGGGGGGTGTATTTTTTAATGAGTGTACAGTGGTACCTTTGGTTACATTCGCTTCAGGTTACATACGCTTCAGGTTATAGACTCTGCTAAACCAGAAATAGTACCTCAGGTTAAGAACTTTCCTTCAGGATGAGAACAGAAATTGTGGGGCGGCAGCGGGAGGCCCCATTAGCTAAAGTGGTGCTTCAGGTTAAGGACAGCTTCAGGTTAAGAACGGACCTCCGGAACGAATTAAGTACTTAACCGGAGGTACGACTGTATATACATTAGTATTGTTAATTGTTTTACTTATTTTTACACTGCCTTTTTATTATTTTCTTTGAGCAATTGTTGAGAACGTATTGTGTACAATGAAAAAAGTGGATGGGTGCCATTTTAAATGTACTAGGTATCATTTTGACTGACAGTGGCAGAACCAGAAATGTACTTTTTCCAAAGCCAAGTTCCTGAAAGTACCCTGACCGTTTCAATGCACTTTCTCAAATACTTGTCCAGTATTTTTTATCAAACCAAACAAGTCCTCACGATCCGTGTTTTGCCCTGACTTTTATGCAACTAAAGATATCCTCGAGGCATCCTTAAAATAACAGAAGTGTACTTGAAATGCTGAATGCAACATGTTTCTCTATAGCTGGAATCGTGTAAGAAATCCAAAGGGGGAAAAGGAAAGGAGAGCTCTTCAATATACAGGCATATATACAAGTTGCAAACCATCTTGCTTAATGCTGGGTGATGTAGGCTGAAGGAAAATTGTGGTGTTTTGCATGAGGTCTGAAAAGCAGGGGAGAAGGGGGCTGGCAAGAATTCTTGGCGGGCAGGCTGAACAGGCTGGTTCCTCTGTTTGTAGACCTAAGCCTGCTGCTTCAAAGAAAGGACCAAAGAATGATCTTGAGATGTGAATGTTCTGAACCCTCCCCTCCATGGTAGACTCAGGGTGTATAAATGAACCATATATCATAAAGACACTGCAGTCTAATTTCAAAAGGAAACACGAATACAGGATGAGCACCAAGACCCCTGGAATTTCACACCACTCACAACCTAAGTTGAAATGCTAAACCTAGTCTTTACCTCTGCTCACCATCCCTTCATGAAAGGAGAGGCTCAAGTTCCTCGACTATCAGGTCTAGAGTAAGTATATTGTTAATCGCTTATCACCTCGCTTTGTACTATGTGATGGCTCTTCTCCCCAGGTGATTCCTGGCCAGGAAGCTGATTCAGCCTGCATTTTAACACTCTTAATTCAGCTCATCTTAATTCTCAAAGAGCTGATCAAACCCTAGAACCCAGGAATTTAGAGGGGGTCAGAATACCCACAACCCAAGGGAGTTAGATTCACGTGGTTACGGGTTTGTGGGTACCCTATCTAATTCACACTTTCTAGAGCAGTACATGAGCCTAAACATAACCAGCCTTCAATATTTGTGATGCAATTTAAAAACAACAGCATATATTTTGGAAAGTGTACACAAAAAATACATATATTAGGGGAAATGGCATACAAATTTGCATTATTTTAAGGGAAATTGCTTGCAAAAATGAGTGCATAAACACAAAAAACTGCATATGAATTTTCATGTGGACAAAAAATGAAGTTTGTAAACCGATGCAGAAATGGAGCAAACTAAACTACAAATCGGAAAAGGGAGAAACTTGACCCATATCTGGGCCCTGAACAAATTCAGGGACCTTGCACAATGTTTAATTATGGTTTAAAATATGGTGGAGGAGAATGAGAAATGGGTTAATCTACCTCCTGCACAGGCTTATTCCAAATTGGGAGGGATGTCAGTGGCTGCATTTTTCCATTAAAAAAAGGGGGGGGGAGGAAATCACAGATCTCCCGTATCATCCAGTTTGGCTTGCAGGAATTTCATCCTTATGGTGAAGTATTAAACAAAAGGAAATAGAACTCAACTCTGCTATTGAGAGAAGCAGTTGAGTCGTGAAATGCAAAGAACCAGCAAAGGTATTTTTCATTCTGATTTATCCATAAACCATTCTGTAGTAATTTCTGGGGGCTTCTGGGCTGACCCTTAGAGATGAAGGGTGCTCATATGTTTTATATATTACCATAGATGCTCTGGCTGTTACGCAGTGTGTGTTTTAAAGTCAACCTGCTCCAACTCAAAAGAGATAGTGAGCTAATGCACACAGAGACATTCCCCCAGAGTCCAGAATGCTTTGACGTACTCAAGGTCGCGCTCTGGGAAATGAAACAAAAAAACACAAAAGCATAATCTGGATAATGAGGCATGAAATTAGTAAGAATCAGTAAAAGGGAAATGCAACATGCTTTATGCTTTGGCTCATATTTGTCCCTTCTTCTTCTTCTTTTTTTTACTCCAGCAGGAATATTTTTTGTTTGATCTGAGATGTTTGGGAACAGGTGAGCTAAAAGAATGAAGGCTGGCATCAGATGAATTAATGGAGTTCCAGAGTAATATGGATGGCTGCATCTCAGAGCAGCCTTGACCCACCTGGTTCCCCCCAGATGTTTCGGACACCATCTGTCAGCTTCCTCTGCTTTAGTCTCAGTGTTGCCCTTGCAGAATTGAGCAGGGAGGAAGCCTGTCATTTGCTCTGGGTCCACCTCCCTGCCTTCTGCCCCGCCGGTCACAATGGGCACCAGCCATCATTGTTGAGGCATAAGAAAAATGATTTGAGAAGTGACCAGTATGGTAAGGCATAGCCATGGCTCCACCTTCCTGATCTTGGAATCGTAGACTGCCTGACAGTGCTGGGGAAAGGAAGGACAGCAATGAGGTCAAGTCCGTGTGGATAATAATAATAATTTATTACACTGGGCAACAATTTTTTACTTTTTGAATGTTGTCTAGATTTCTACAACTGATTTAGGGTATTTTTGCACTGCTGAATCAGGAAATGGCATGCGTTTCTCTCCATCAGGTCAGGTTTACTGTAAACTGAATGGTGGGCATTGATAAAGGTAAGTACACGTAAATTGCATGTTGCTTCACCATTTTTCAAACTTCAGGGCTTGAACTTCCGTTTCTTGGAACTCCTGGAATGCTCAGCGGCAGGGAGGTCTCTCTTCAAAGTCCAACAGTAGTCAGCCATCATGACTGCATCCCAGCGACCCTGATACCTGGTCTCCATCTCTTTCATGTCCTCTCCCCCTGCTCGTCACTCATTGAACCCAGGTTCTCAGGAAACTGGTCCATATGTGAAAATAGGTAGTGCATCTTGACGCTCCTGTTGCAGCCCAGGTTTCTGAAAGCAGTCAGCATGTTGTTGACAAGTTCTGCGTAGTTTCTGGCCTTTTTGTTGCCAAGATAGTTCTTCACTACCAGAACAAATGCCTTCCACGCTTCCAGTTCCACTTCGTTCATTGAGTTTCCGAACTCTGGATCTCTGATGAGCTGACGGATCTGAGGACCGTCAAAGATGCCAGCTTTCAACTTCTCCATGGTCAATCCTGGAAAAGCCTGGCACAAGTAAGTGAAGCACTCACCATCCTTCTCCAGAGCCTTGGTGAACTGCTTGATTAAGCCGAGCTTGATGTGCAGCGGTGGGAAGAGTATTCTGTCTCTGTCCACCAGAGGGTCGTTGATGACGTTCCTTTTTTTTGCAAGGCACCAATTCCACCTGCACAGGCCAGTCCTTCTTCGTGTAATGCTGAGCACGGTCCCTACTATCCCACATGCACAGAAAACTTGGTGAAGCCAGACTGTTGTCCCAACAAAAAGTTCACCATCTTCAGGTCAACACAAATAAACCACTTATGCTGATCATAACCAATTTTCTCCAGCACATACTTCACCGCTTCATAGTTCTCCTTCAGTGTACTCGAGTGAGCCAGGGGTATAGAGGCAAACTGGTTGCCGTTGTGTAGCAGAACACATTTCAGTGATCACTTGCTGCTGTCAATGAACAGTCTCCAATCTTTGGGTTCGTACTGCGGCACTCCAAGCTTGAGGAGAAGCTGCGCAATATCTGCACAGTACACCAAGTCCTTCTCTTCTGAGAAAAAACGGAGGTACTCTTGATGCCTGTTGCGGAAGAAGCTGATGCGAGCACTGTCAGAGAGGAGGTTTTTTTCCTTCAATCTGGATGCCAACAGTTTGGCAGAGTCCTTTGACAAGCTGAGGTCACAAACTAGATCATTCAACTCCTTTTGGGAAAATGGCTGTGGAGCATCATCTTCAAGAACCACTTCTTCTTCTTCATGTCCTTCAACACTGGAGGCATCTTCGTCACTCATGTCAGGAAGTTCTCTGAAGATAGGCACTGGAATTTCATCACAATGAGCTACAGGACGACGTGCTGATTGAAGATCAGGATACTTCGTGGGGCGGCTGCCCCATTAACTTAGTTTTGATCCCCCAACTTTATGCTTTGCTGCAGCAATTTATGGAAGATTTTGAGGTTTTATGACTTCAAACTGATCCCTTTTCGACATAATCACCCAGAACTATCGGACCTGAATACTTCTTGTCATTAAAATAATCATTTCCAATCAAAACAATTATTCAACATGGCATTTTACCCCCACCAACTTCTTCTAAAATGCTCCACAGAAGCGTACATGTGAACAAAAACATAAAAAACGACATGTGGCCATAGCTCAAAAACTTGACCTGATTGAGCAAAACCAATGTGATTTTTGGATTCAGCACATCAGATTCATCCTAAATCAACTGAAAAAATGCAGACAACAAATTTGTTGTTGACCAGTGTTATTTATACCCCGCCCACCTAGCTGGGTTTCCCCAGCCCCTCTGGGCGGCTTCCAACAAAATATTAAAATACAATAGTCCATCCAACATTAAAGGAGCCAATCTGGCACTCTTATGAGTGCATTAGTGCAGCCCTAACTTCATCATTTCATCAGGGATGTGGGTGGCGCTGTGGGTTAAACCACAGAGCCTACGACTTGCCAATCAGAAGGTCGGCGGTTTGAATCCTTGCAACGGGGTGAGCTCCCGTTGCTCTGTCCCTGCTCCTGCCAACCTAGCAGTTCAAAAGCACATCAAAGTGCAAGTAGATAAATAGGTACCGCTCCGGCGGGAAGGTAAACACCGTTTTCGTGCGCTGCTCTGGTTCGCCAGAAGTGGCTTAGTCATGCTGGCCACATGACCCGGAAGCTGTACACTGGCTCCCTCGGCCAATAAAGTGAGATGAGCGCCGCAATCCCAGAGTCGGTCACGACTGGACCTAATGGTCAGGGGTCCCCTTACCTTTTAACTTCATCACTACACTGCCCCACCCCAGTGCCGACCCTGCATGGTGTACTGATGTCAATGTTGAAAAAGCAGCTATCTGTCTCTGCCCCAACACTAGAAATGCCCTTTGAAGTGATAGAAGCAATAGGTACTTTGGTTTTCAAATTGTTTGATTTTGCTAGTGTTCCATAAATATATTAAAAGCTTTAGGTTGCAACCCTGTAATCATTTTCCCAATAGAAAACTCATTCTCATAATTAGCAAGATTCAGCACTTACAGTATTTTTAAAAATACAGTATATATTCTCTTTGTTTGGAAAAAGCAAATGTTAAAAGGTTGGTAGCATGAAAAGCCCCAGAGGAACCCATCTGAAAGTTGGCAGGGTTAATCCCCTCTGAAGGGGCTATCCTGTCTCCAGAGGTCATGCTCCTATGTGAAAAAACAAGGACCGTGTGGCCATTTTGATTCAGCAATTCAGGCCAATGGGATTTCCATATATTTGTATTTCCCCGTCACAGACCGGTTTCAGATCTGGGGCAGGGACAAACATTGGATTGGGGGAGTCTGTATAGACATCTAACACACACACACACACACACACACACACACACAATAGCTCAGTCGGTATAGCATGAGACTATTAATCTCAGGCTCATGTGTTCGAGCCACAAGTTGGGCAAAATATTCCTGCATTGCAGGAGGTTGGACTATATTACCCTCATGGTCCCCTTCCACCTCTGCAACTCTATGGTTCTATGAGAATATCAGTTTGTACACACAAAACTGCTTCAACAAGTTTGTGTTGTTGAAATTGTTTTGTTCCATCTTTGTGTGGTGAGTGGGAGAGACAATTTATTCATCCCTCTATGAAGAGTCACTTTTGAAGGCTGGAATGAATGTCAAGTGCATCTTTACAAGGTCAGATCAAAGGCTGTTATTAAAAGGCCATCATGTCTCTGAAAGTGGCAATTTCTGGATCCTTTAGAGCAAGTGCTTAACAACGCAGGACGCTCCTGCAGCACACACTCACCCCCCTCCTCTTATCCTTCTGATGTTTTGTGGCATACTGAGGAAAACCAATTTGAGCATCCCTATCTCCCATGTATATGTCTTGCCTCTTTATGAGCCCAGTTACATTCAGTGAGGGACCTTGGGGCTTAAATCTGGGTGTGGAAGTAGCAAGCAGTGCCTTGGATTGTGTTACTCCAACTCTCTCAGCCCCCCAGAAGTAACCCACCTCTGGATTAGGATTACTCAGCAATACGCTTCATATCCACAAAGCCACTCTAGTATTTACTTTTTCAAATTCCAAAGCTGAGATTTGGCATTCTCAACCATCTTCCTGAGCTAAGACCTGATGGAGAGAAGGGAGTCTTCACATCTGACAGTAACTTTTTGCTTTTTCTACATAGGAATGCTTACAGAAATCCACCTGCCTTGCTGAATTTTTCCCAGGGATGTAGAACTTGCAACATTGTAATCTGGGTCCCTGTTTTGTTCCAGAGCTGTATTTCCAAAATGCTTGCATTAATTACAACTTTAAAAAGCAAAAGCGGTTATTTTAAAAACACTTTTGTGCTGCAGATTAGGTTTCTGCATTCCATTAGCCTTGCAGGAGAATTTGTTTTTTGGTTTTTTGGTTTTTTAAAAAATGTTTTTTGGCCGAAGGAATGATTTTGGAAGGTTCTTTGTTGTAGCATATGATCACAGATAGTGGGGTTTTTTGTGGCCTAAAAGAAAAAAGAAAGTTATTTGTTGCTTGGATTGTCTATGTTAGACAGGTTAACTTCTGTGCTCCTGCAGAAAACCAATAAAAAATTAAAACCTTGCCACAGTATCAGTGTTGTACTTTGAGGCAGCCTCACATTATTTATGCATGTGTGATACTAGAGAAATAAGTTTCAAAGATCAACTGTAAAAACAAACAAAAGACTGAACCCCCTCCATAACATATTGCCCAATAACTCCATCAACTCTTGTTAAGTCCTTGCGGCATAACACAGTGTGTGGGGACTCAGCATTCATAGAGAGGAATATGGGGTTGGATCATACTTAATCCTGATCTATATGTGTTCAGTCTACTGCCTCTACATATTGTGTGTACAAAGGCAGAGTATTATGTACATAGGATCTGAAAAAAGCAGTGTCTGCAATTACAGCTGGTATATGCACAAGGTTTGCTGAGAAAGTAAGCCAGGGATGGGAACACGTGTTACATTACGTTGGGCAACAGAGTGCTTTAATTGCACAAACCTAAGGCTTTGGAAACATAATTGAAATACTTCCACAAAAGACTGACAGAGGTACCCTGTCACAGCAAATGGGGAACCTGTGACCCTCCTGAGAGTCACAGGTTCCCTCATCCCCACCCTGTCATATTCCCTTTCCCAGGCTCCATGCTTACCAGAGCTAGTCAGGAATCATTATGCTTTTTATTATCAATAAAGAAAAGAAAAACCACTTTCAGTATATTGATTTTATATCCCTGGAGATAACATATTCCAAGGAAGTTACTTTTTAGCAGAAACTGATCTGATCTTCCCCGCCCCTTTTATTAATAATTTCTGTATGAAATTTATTTATTTAGATAGAATATGGTTCAAAACAACAACAACACACAAACCCCACAGAATCTATTTCCCACACAGAACAGACTAGCTGGATAAATCGTTTGACTTGGTCAGCAACAATACAGTTCCTTCCTTCGCAGGCACATTTAAAGCCATTTCTCCCTGTGAGTGTCTTGTCCCTCCCAATAAACAACTCTGCGGGGAAGAAAATGTATTTTGAAGGGTACATTTTCATTGGGCAAAACATCGTTTTAAAGAAGTACGGTGTGCAAACTGCCATCCTTCTTTTGAACAGAGCGTCCTCAATAAGGAAAACGTTTCGGGGTACTCTTTTTCCTACACATATTGAAATACTGCCCCTGAAAGATCCACAAAATGGTTAGAGGTATGCATCCCCCTGCGTCCCCCCAGAAAAAAAGCACTGCTATTAGGCATTGTGAGTCAGCTGCCTCTAGTGGCAGGCGCTGGGTGGTAGTGATGGCAATGATAGGAACCCTCCCTGCCATTCCTCTCTGGGGCAAGCTGCAGTCTGCCACAGGGCCTCTCCTGTGTCCCCAAAACTACTCTGCCTTGACTGGCCTCGACTGTCTGCAATGATACTGGCTACTTTAAGAGAGAATGCAACATCATTTCCAAATAAACTAGAGAGCAGCAGGATCAATTCACTGCCTCTCGCAATGGTCATTTTCAGACAAATTCCTGGAGGATGGGGCTCTTGATGTTTTTGACTTATAAAGCCTTAAACAGCTTCAGACAGAAAAGTTGTTGAGCTTTCGGGGAGGGGGAGGGATGAGGAAAGAAATGTCATTTTTGAGCTATTTTTATGAAAAATTGGCAAAAACAGCACTGCCGAGATGGGCTGCCATACATCTGGATATTCAACTTTCTTTTTAACCGATTTTTGCCCGGACCTTTTGCTGAATGACATATGGCAACCCTAAATAATAACCATACTAGCCATGATGGCTCTGCCTCCATAGTTGAAATAGGCCACTGGTCTGATCCAGCCAGCCTCCTCTCATGTTCTTATGTTTAAATGAGTTAGACACCAAACTGGTATTTTGTTCCAAGTGCTTGTTTCCTACTGTAAAGAAGTTTTGAATAAGGAGCGTGAGGATTATCTGTATTCCTTCTGAATGGATTTCATGTTAAGCTCTTGTGTAGTTCTGTGCCTATGTAAAGCTGCCTTCTTTAAATAGAGGCAGTCATTTAATCTAAGAAAGATTCAGTCAAAAGTCCCTATTAAGCCGAGACTCTTTGCTGGGTAGATAGTCCCCTATTTTAAATGTTAAATGCCTGCTGCTGCTGCTGCTGCTGCTTCTTAAAATAAACATACAGATGTTCTGTTTCTCCCCCCACCCCAATCACTTACATATTTTTATTTTATTTTTAAAAGCTACTTTTAATCTTTTGATACGACTTTGCCATTCTATTCAGTGTCGTATGGGGAATTTTTTTAAAAAGGAAGTATCCAAATGCCATATGTCAGAAATATGTAGTCATTATATTCAGAATATGTCAGAGATAAAGTCTCCCCATTTCACTCGCTTCCTCAATAGTTCCACTTCATTTAGATAGTGGGCTTTCTGCTTGTTATCTAACCCTGTGCTGATCTAGAGGTCAGTAAGCCAGAACACATGAGGCTTAAAATAGAGGGAAATGCTTTATCAAAGTACAGTTATCTTTTTTCTTATGCACAGTTTGGGAAGAGGAGAGGCACAGGTGACAGACTATTGACCAGTTTGTAAGCATCCATCCCAGTGTTGGGGGGGGGGGGATGTGGCTTAATTGCTTCTATTAAAGTTATGTACAAACATACTCAGGCCCCATTTATTTTGATGTAAATATTACACGTAATGTTCATCAGTAATCCTATTAATAAAAGTATAGGGTAAAATCCCCTTCATGGATCACTGCCTCACTGGAAGGACAGATCCTGAAGCTGAGACTCCAATACTTTGGCCACCTCATGAGAAGAGAAGACTCCCTGGAAAAGACCCTGATGTTGGGAAAGATGGAGGGCACAAGGAGAAGGGGACGACAGAGGACGAGATGGTTGGACAGTGTTTGCGAAGCAACAAACATGAGTCTGACCAAACTGCGGGAGGCAGTGGAAGACAGGAGTGCCTGGTGTGCTCTGGTCCATGGGGTCATGAAGAGTCGGACACGACTAAACGACTAAACAACAACAACAACAATGGGGTAAAATAATCAAACCCTATATGGTTTAGCTGGGTTCTTTTTATAGTTAAAAGCCACAATACAGAGAACTTCAAAAACTTTTCCAGCATCCCATACAGGGCTGTGGACCCCCATTTCCTATGTTGCATCTTGAGATTCCGTGATGGATGAAATTAATGGACCTAAGTTAGTGATGTCCATTCATGTCAATGGGTGAATATGACTAACACTGAATAAATGTTTGATGTGTGAATGTCCTCCTTCTAGCACCTTGACACAAGTGTACCTGAGGGCCAGGTTGGTGCAATCTCACCCCCCCAACACTACATGTAGACTGTACAATTTAAGGTGGGTTTGACTGGACCATAGGGTTGCCATATTTCAAAAAGTGAAAATCCAGACACAAATTAGTTGAGAAAAATCTCAAAAAAGGGGAGAGGTTTTAAAGCTATTTTTAAGGAAATTCACTCCCCCCCCCCAAAAATTCAACAATTCCAATATGGGCTGCCATATGCTAACATTTTCCTAGACATTTTAACCATTGAAAAATTCTTCCAGGACACCATTTTCGAAGGACAAATCCTGGCTATGTCCATCAAATTCTGAACATATGGCAGCCCTATTGGATTATAAAGCCATCCTAATTTGAAAATAATCCTCTGGACAGCTCTTAGAATAGGTCTACAATATCGAAAGGAGAGTGAAACATCTATTAGTTTGGCAAAATAATCTCTCTTCTTTTTTTTACAATCACATTACACTGTTTATTAGCATCGGCACTCTTTTCTTCATTTCCTATTTAATGATCTTGCCACTACCTTAAGATTTTTTTGTTTTGTTGCTGTTGTTGTTCATTCTTTGGCTTTCTTTAGACAGTAAAGGTAAAGGTAAAGGAACCCCTGACCATTAGGTCCAGTTGCAGACAACTCTG